TGGGCTTGGGAGTCCAATGCTAAAGAAAATAGTTACTGATTAAAACAACAACAGTCTAAACTGAAATTCCCTCTAAGTAATCCCTTTTCCTATTTCTACACATGGCCTTTAATGCCCTCTCTTTAGGGCTGTATGTGACTTCTCTTTTAAGGCTTTCTTTGATTTTGATTCTATAAAAATATTACAATAAGAACAAGAAGATATATAGTACATACTTGAAGGTACTTCAAGAGGGAAACTAACAGGTTGGAAACTAACAGACAGGACACTTATTTTATGCGTATCACCTCATCTGATTCCTAATTTTACTGCATAATGGTGTGCCTCTGGTTAGTCCTTCGGTCTTCCTACATCTCATCAGCAACATTCTGTACGTATCAAAACTATATTTTCAATTTTGAAAAGCAACATGAAGTTTTACAACCAAAAGGAAAGAATTATATTATCTAGAAGCATAATTATCAGTCTCATAAACACGACATAAGAGGAGTCTAAATTTATCATTTTGTGAACTTGAGACTTTGATGTATAGGCAAAAAGATACATTTAGTTAAAATTCCTGTTTACAGAGTAGACATAACCCTATACTTCATGGTAAAGATAATGATTAGGTTTCAAGCCAAAAGCAAAAAAGTTCTCTGCTTAAAACAAAACAAAACAGCCCCATAATTACTCTTTTCTAATCGCTATTTTTTTTTTCATTTGAATTGATTTAACCAACCCAGTGTTCAACTGGATCCTAAAATCATACATCTTTATCTATTTAGTTAACAAAGAGTGAGGAAAATAATCAGCCAATTTTGTTTCCACCTAGCAGGGTAAAAGAACACAGGGTATATAAAAAAAGGACTTGTGTAGTGTTATTTTATATTCTACCCATATGTAGCAATTTGTACTTTTATATACCCTTACTAAAGTCTAATGAGAACTTTATAACCACACTGTACTTGGAGTGTAATAAGTTTATTCTACTATGTAACTGCCTCAAATTTCAAAGGAAAAAAGAAGCCTTTATTGAAAATTAGGGAATGACACATGCATAGCAAGAGAATTATTTCTCAGTCATTTTACCACAAAAAAATAGCTTTAGGACACTGAGAATCTTCTTTCAGAAAAAAGAAATTGTCTTTCAATTCAGCTTAAAAGCCAAAGTAGCTTTACACTTATTCTCTTTTAAATCAAATTGATAACATATGCTTCTTGATGGCAAAGGCCATAACGAAATAAAAATATATTACTTTTTTTTTAAAGGACAGAACTCTTTTTTGGTTTAGTTAAATTAGTATAAAATATTAGAAAAATAAATCCATAAAAAGAGTTCTGGAGAGTAGCACTCACAAAGAAAATTCAAATCCTTGGTCCTTAGTCAAAAAGCATGTTAACAGCAACAAAAGCATACTATTATAATTCAACTAATTTCAATATGGATCGCAAAAACAGATTAATTTCGCTCAGAAATTCCAAATCTGTTTTGGTTTAATTTCAAACTTTTCAACAGCTGGCAAAATCATAAATCGACTATTAAGAGTTTTACTCCTTTATGCATTATCTACCCAACATCAGACAGAGGCCCTAATGAGCAGGGTTTAGATAATGCACCAACACAAAACTAGTGTCTGAATAACTGAATCTTCGATAGCTTCTAAACTGTGAGAAAATATTTATAATGTGATTAAGGATATGGCTTTACAGAAGCAGTTATTTTTGTACTTGTTGGCTAGATAGTATAATATTCAAAGAAACATAACCATTAAACTCTTTCTGCACCAGGGCTCACTCTTGAAAACCAGAAAAAATATCTGACGAGAATAACAACATTTGGAATGGTCCTTTTATCTCTGCTTATAGCTAAAATACACATAAACAATATTTTCATGTCCTAATCAGAAAGCTTTATAGATTTATTGTGTCTCAAAATACACATTACCAAGATAGTGAACTATCACATTTTTTACTATTTTCCAAATTAAAATTCTGTTTTTAATGGACTTGGCCTTTGTATCTTTTAGATAAAGAAGTATGTTATTGCCATTTCAAGGTGTATAAAACTAAGGTGATGAGGGTCTCTGTCATTTTCTCTTAATCCAATTCCAAACTCGACCTTTACCCAGTGAACAGGTGTGTGCTGTGCCTGTAATTTATCAGAGTGAGCGACCCGGCAGAAAAGCTACCAACAATAGGAGGCTAATAGAACCAGGCACTTAGCGCCTAGAAAGCAGTTCTCATCCCCACCATTATGAATATACTTTTATCTCCCAGTAGCAATTTAAAGATAAAGAATGATGGGGGTGAGGGGAGTAATATATTCATATTCCTTCAGTTTTTTGGATTCTGTTTTTATCCTAATAGTCTGCCAGCAGCTATAAGGTTATAAATTCCTTTCTCAGATATTCTGTTTCTCACATTCCAATCCAACCTATGATATGGATATGAAAACAGTCATGACAGCATTTCCACTAGGGCAAAAAATGCCACTTCACACAGATAAATTAAATAAACCTTCAAGAAGAAAGTGATAAATGAATAGCACATTTCTTTGAATGCAATGTGGAAACTCCTACGTATCCCCTACATTTGTCTTATTGGATCATACTTATCTAATTTAAAAACGTGCCAAGTATCCATTTACTAGGTATGAAGAGGTACTAATTGGTAATATGACAGCACACTAAAAAGAAGCAGCAGCTAATATTAGAACAATGCACAGCTAATATTAGAACAATGCCCACAGACTAATAGGTAATAATTATTCAGCAGGGTAAATCTTAACCATAGTGGATCTTTAGAGTCAGATGAAATTTCTAAATATTCCATATAGAAAAACATTCACAAATAACTAAATAAAATAAAGTTTCTAAATGTCTTATAGAAAAAAATCATACTTGAATAAATTCGAGCAAAACCACAAATACTTCCATGATTTCCCCATAAAATTAAAATGTAATTTTAAAAGATCTAACACTTCAAAGATTTTTCTAGAAAACTTTTTTTAAAAGAAGTTAAAAGAGAAAAATACTTTGGCAGGTCTGAAGAATATTTTTAAAACAATACTGAAAAGAGACCAAATCACACTCACTTTTTAAAAAACACAAGATTTAATCAAATTTTCCTTTTTAAACTCACCCATCTGCTCCACAATCTCAGGAGGAAACACTCGGGAAGCAAATGCTCGTCGAAAAATATCTGAAAATTCCTTGTCCAGACCTCCTATCCCCATTTTTTCGAAATTCCAGTCAGGATTGATGATAGACTGGCGATTTTCCTTGGTTTTAGCTTTGCCTATGTCAAACAAAGATAATCAAATGTGAGTTAAAAACAGTGTCAAAAGACAAAACTCCCTGAGCATCCTCAATGAATAAAGAGAAGCTACCTTTATACAAAGATGAACAGCGTGGTCTTTGCTGATGTTCTAATAAGAAGGATGAGTTTTTCTATGCTAACTATTTTGTCTGGTTCCCATTTAGGGTCAGTAAAACACTTTCAAGATGACTAAACTCATGCCGAAGCCCATTTGTAATCAATCCATGGAGCTTGGTTGTCTTAACCTCTAATCCCAACCGAGTTAGCTAATTTGGTTGATTAGAAGAAACATCATGTGCATATCTGAAGACAACACTAGCTGGCAGAAATGCAAATGAAATCTACCAGTCCCTCAAAGCTCCTAAAACAAGTGTATTTAAAAATACATATATTTATCTAGATTAAGTTTATAATTGGGTATATAATCCCTAAACCTGAGAAGATGCACTAAATAAATTTGATGTCTTATTTGCTTTTTCTTTACTTGCACACAGAAGTGTAAAATCATCCTAAAGTCTTTAATAATTTCAAAATTTGTATTTTCCAATTCTTTCACGAAGATAAAAATTATTTAATTTAAATGTCACAGTGCCACCTAAAGTAACTTAAGAGAACCATATTATTTCAAATACAAAGAATAAAATACCTTACTACACTCTACTATATAAACAAAAAAAGAAAGTAATATTATAGTTTTGTTTTGTTTTGTTTTTTAATTAGGGAAGAAAAGTTCATATTAGAAAAAGTGTATCCTCGATGGAGTTTGATGGTTAGAGTTTTCTGGACTTAACCACTTCCTTTATAAAGCTATGGAAAATGTTCCTTATGCTCTACTGCCCTCTTGTGGCCAAAATTACTGCATGCTAAATCATTACACAATTTTATTTTCTAATGAGAAAAACCTATCAATCACACCTTTTCATGAATTACTTAGAAATACCCACATAGTATGAAAGTTACAAAACTCCCTTGGGATAAGATACCCTAACAAAAGGTGTACAAAACATAAAATACGAGATAATCATTGTAGAAATGTACCGGATCAATAACGAGAGATTTTGATATATCCTACATCCACAAAATAACTTAGTCATTAAAAATTATGTTGTAAAGTTGTGTTCATTAAGATGCCTGAAATATATTAAGCATAAAGAAAAAGTTATAAAATGGTATGAAAATTGACTTAAATTTTTAAATTTTGGAGTTGTGAGTTGTTTTTGAGTATCTATCCATATTTTATAAAATACTTTATAAGTAAGAAAAAAACAATAAAAAGGAACAATAATCTATAAATGAAGAAAAAAGGCCACACATTCAAAGTCAAATAACCTTGGATATGATAGTGTATACTTTCTTCTGGAGTAGACAATCAACTTAGTTAAAGCAATCAAAAATAAGAATTACTATACAGTTAGTGGCATCATTATTCTGGTGAGTTAATATTCTTAAAGAACAATGTGCATTATTTGAATATAACAAAAATAGGGCTAACGTAAAAGAGTAAGAATGAACTACGAATCTGTTGGAACTACGAACCTGCACATTCATCATTCAACTCAATCACTAATAGAAGTGACACCCGTATCATGTTTAACACACAACCAGGTGAGGGACAATCCACAGACTGACTGGTTCTCAAGGTCACGAGAGACTGTGAAAGCCTAAGGAACTGTCAGAGACTGGAGAAGACTATGAGACTATAAACAGCTAACTGTAATGTGGGATCCCGAGTCAGATCCTAAGATAGAAAAAGGACCTAATGAAAAAACTGGTGAAATCCAAATAAAGTCTGTGGTTTACTTAGGAGCAATGAAACCACATTTATTTCATTTTGGTAACCGTACTACAGCTATTTAAGACATAACATCAAAGGAAGTTGGTGAAGCGTTTACAGCAACTCTTTGAACTACTTTTGCAAATCTTCTGTAAGCCTGAACTTTTACTTATTTATAGTGTGGTTACTCGGAAATTAAAAATTACATGTGTGGCTCACATTATATTTCTATTGGACAATGCTGATCTAGTGAAGGTTTCAAACTTTACCATCAGCACATCTGACGAATAGGAAATACTTCTTGGTTTTGTGAAAAGCCTTCTCAAGGGCAGGGCCCCTATTCGCCTTCTCCACTTGAAAATCACCGTAAGCTGAGTCACATATAGTAACAGCAATAGACCCCACTTCATTCGGAATCTTCTAAAAACTATAAATCTTACCAATAAGATTGAGTGATGAATTTTCTGCTTTTTCAAATGCAACTTGACTGTTTCCAACAACCAGTCCTACTTCGATCTGGATAGAAAAACAGTAAGTAGTAGTTAGTCTACCAGCTGACTTCTGGACTTCTAAAAGCAAAGCCAAAAATGAAGGGGAACGAGGTCTCTCGGAGAAGAGCAAATCTTCCAAACTATCATCCAAGTTACAGTTATTTCTGTCATAACTACCTTCCTATTATTCCTATTTTCTTTATTTCAATGCATATATCTTTTCATAAGGCCTGTCTTCTTCTTTTTTATTTATAATAAATATCATCTTCACTCAACCAGGATTACAGGTACATATAAAAGTTCAAATTATTATTAGGTCTGTAAATAAGTGTATTTTATGCTATATTTTAATAACAATGCTGGCTATAAAAACAGAGTACATAACATGAAAGTGTACATAACATGAAAGAAATCACTGAGCAAGAGAATGGATGGGAAAATTTGCTTACTATGCACAATTCACCTCATAAAGACTGTCCAATAAAGATTATTAGAAATAAAACATACCTTCTGCCTTTTACCGGTCGCAGGCTCTCCCTTCAGGATGCTAGGATCCATGGCTTCAATATCCTTTACCAGCAAGCCAAAAAGCTTCTCATTGAAGCTAAAGACAAGCTGTGTAGGAAAGAGGTAAAGGGAGAAAAATCACTTTATGATATAATGGCTTGATGCTCACATCACCAATGTTTTCCAAATGCAGGAAACCAGCTTTGTCTTGTGTATCCCTCTCAAATATGGTCCACAGGCAAACTACCCACCTAACCAATGAAAGGAAAAGGGAACTACTATTTATTGAGTATCTACTATGTACCAAGCAAACACGACAGGAGGTTATATAATTCAGTCACAAACTCTCTTAGAAACAAATCATTCTCCAGTTTTACTAGTAAGGAAACAGATCCAGAAGAAGGCTAAGCAATGGGACCAAGTCACAGGAAATGACACTGCCAGGATTCAAGCCTGAATCTGTGACTCTGATATCCATGCTTTTCTACAACCAATACAAAATGCCTGCCATACAAGTGCAGAGACAGCGTCTGAATGTTCATTCATTAGCCAAGTATTTATTGAGTGCTTTCCACAAGCTAGGCCCTCTTCTACATGCTCGGGGTGTAACAGGCAAAGCTGTCAATCCCGCCACTATTAACTACTCCAAAGGGAACTGAATACTAAGAACAGTGATTTGGGGTGAGATTTATTTCTTCTCTGTATCACGGAGGATTTTCTTGCATGGGTTTACAGACATCTGCATGTTATTAGGTTTAAAGTTATTATAAACACCAAAGCATTTTCTATTAAATATCCTTCTAAGCATATTCTGTTAAAACACTAAAACTAAAGGTCAAAACAATAAAGTTTAATGAGGCGATATGAACACGACTATCAGTCAAAAAGTGTAAGAATCCAGAGGAATGTAGTATAGTCCAAAAAGCAACGGACAGGTGGTTGATAAATTATCAGCTAAATGTCCTCTCGGGAGGCCTTCTCGGACCATTTAATCCAAAGTAGCACCACAGGGGCTCCCTAGTGCATCATCCCGTTTAACTTACATCAAATTACTTAACAGTACATGGCATTTCTCTATTTTGTGTCTTCCCAAACTAGAAAGTAAGCTCTATGAAAATAGAGATTATGTGTATTTTGTTCATTGCTGGTCTGCAGTGCCTAAAATAGCAGCTGGAACATAACTAGGTGTTCGATAAATATTTACTTAATTAATTGATCGATTAACTAGTGGGTTCTTGTCTCAGCTACACCCCTGGATGTATGAACAGGGACATGTCATTTATCTTCTCTGGACCTAAAATTCCTCATTCGCAAAATGAAGAGGTTAGACAAGATAATCTTAGGTTCATTCCAATTCTAATATTCTTAAAAATAATAATAAATGCACTATATCCTTTTCCTGTCTATCAGTAATTCAGCTTCTACTAGCAAAAGTCTGAGATTATAATGTGTCGATTATCAAACCCTTAGAGTCTTGTTCCAGATCTTTGCCATTTCAGTTAAACAAGAGAATGACAAAAAATAACACTCCTTTCAGCCCAACAGCTCTTTCTTTCTATAGCGTCTCTCATTCCTCATCCTGCATGCCTTCCCACGTAGGAGACTGCAAGGGCATTCTAGGTAAGTCAGTAGAGGTCAGAACGCTACAAGCAAGGATTCTCAAATATTTTGGTCTCAGGACCCCTTTATGAGCCTAAAATTTTTTGAGGACCCCAAAAAGCCTTTGTTTATATGGATTATATCTATTGATATTTAGCATATTAGAAACTAAGACAAAAACTTAAAAGGCATTTGTTAATTTAAAAATAACTAATAAATCCATCATGTGTTAATATAAATATTTTTAATTTATTTTAAGAAACTCTTATTTTCCAAAATAAAAAGCACAAGCTGGAAGAAAGGTATGGCCACATTTTCACAAATCTCTTTAATGTCTGGCTTAATGGAAGACAGCTGGACCCTCATATCTGCTCCAGCAGTCGACGTGCTACACCAGCACGTAGTCTAAACTCCGCTGTACACTCATGAGAGAACAAAAGGAGAAAGACACGTTATGTCTTGGTATTAATATGAAAATAGTTTTGACTTCGCAACCCCCTGAAAGAGCCTCAGAGACCCCCAGGGGTCTCAGGACCATGCTTTGAGGACCCCTGCTATGGAGCTACCGTAGGAAAAAGGAGCTGGGGATGATTAAGAAAAGTCACAAAGAAGAAGACAAATATAAGAGCAACAGAGCAATAATTATTTATGTGAACAAACAGCAATTTATGAAATCACACATTTTTTTAGGGTACGATTTTAAAAGAATAGAATTTCTTCTTAGGAGGTTAACAATATATTAAGTGAAGTCCAAAAAAAAAAAAAATTGCAACATAAACAATATCATTTTAAAGTAGAGAAAATTTGGGTTTCAGAGGTTCCATGAAAAATCTGAAAATATATAATAATAATTTTCTTAAGTTTCTCAAAGAAGTTCATAACCAAAGAAAAAACTACTTTTCTACAGAAATATATCAGTAAAAGAGAAAGACATCCAAAGACTAAATAAATGTGCCACAATAAGAAAAAAAGAAATTTGAGTCACACATGTGTGCAGTGTTTCCAAATTTAGACAGAAAAGCTGCTGTAATTAAATAGGATGTTGAAACCTAAAAGCTGCTTTAGAATTTTTCTGAACAGACGCCTTCTTTGAGGTTCAGTAAACATATCTCCTTCACTTTTCATCACTCACCTTGCATATACCTGTTCATATGCAAAGCTCCTCTCATTTTTAAAAAGCAGAATTAATTGTGGACAACTGCAAGAACGAGAATGCCTATAAAGTGAAAGAAATGAAAGAAAATTCCAAACTACCTGCTGCCCCACTGAGAACGCCTGGTTGTTGAACTGCTGAATAAACTCTGCTGCCATCTTGTCAGTATCATAAGGGTTGGAATCGATGCTTTTTTTCTGCAGGAAATCGATCTCGATGGTCATTGTGCCAATACATTGTTTGGCCTTGTCAAATGTATACAAGGACACTAGAGGGGGAAAAGAAACATTTTTTTTTTTTTTAAATCACAGGGATATCAAATGCTTGCTATGTTTCAAGTAACTAAAAGTTTTACATAAATGAATCATAACAGAACTTGTCCAAAAGGAGACATTACATGGCCTTCACTGGATGGACACACACAGGCACAGATTTTAAAACATGGTAATAACCACTAGATATTTTCTTCCCCATATCAATTAATTAGAACATATTGAACAACACTTTCCTTCTACTTTTACACTCTCTCTGTCTCTCTCTCTCTCTGTCTCTCTCTCTCTCTCTCTCTATATATATTTTTTTAAAGTTTATTTTGCTTTTTATTTATTTTTGCAAGTAGAATTTTTGTGAGGTCTTCTCGTTTCTGATTTCTAATCTGCCATCTTCCCTCATATCTCTACTTTTACCCTCTTAAGGAGAAATCACAGCCCCCCCCCCGCACCTCTCCCCAAATGACCTCTTCCCCTTTCTCATTTAACAGAGGACGCTTACATTTACAAGGAGCCAGCATAGCACACTGTTTCTAAAAAGATTTTTCTGACGCAAAAAAGAGCTAGGCTGAGAACTGTGTGGCTCTTTTGCCCTAAGAAAAGGAGGGGAGTTTGCTTCAGAGCAACTTAGGAGTCTGACATTTCTTGCTGAATACTATAAAAATATTTACTGAGTACAGTAATTTCTACATGTAGGACATGTAGAACAGAGTAAAGACCATGTTTTTAACTCATCTTTGTATTTAACAGCACCTAATGGTGTGTGTTAGATGCTTAATATACTCATGAACTATTTAAATAAAAGAACAGCAGCAAATAAATAAATAAATAACCATAGTCTCTTTGTTAATAACAAAAGTGGCAAAACAAAGAAACTTTGAAGTCTAAATGTTTTAATAGATTCTGTTTGTAACTAGAGAAGCATTTAGTGCTCTGTGCCTTGATTTGTCACATCTATAAAACAGGAAGATTGGATTAGATAAGTCTTTATACTAAATTCTTCACACTTAAAATTCTGTTCTAAACTTATTTCTTATAATCTAGCCACTTGAGTTATGTACAAGAATTTTCTGTAAATTCTTTGAATGAAATTGCTTGTGTAATATTTTTATATTTTGGTTTGCTGTCATAAAGGGAGACATATGTATTTTAAAGATAAACATTTTCAAAAGCAAAATTACAAAGAAGGCCAGGGTGAGGAATAGAAAACATACTATCACAGAATGAGTTCCAATCACAGCATAAATTCAAATTTTGGCTGAAAGTTTCAGAATACTCTCCTGCCTCCACTTTTGGATATTTGTTCTTTCTTAACATTTCCCAGAAAGTACAGGTTACAGGCCAAGTAACTTTCATAAACAAGAGAGCTTAATTGTTTCCCCACAGAGTGAAGATATATATAGGATGAAATATTAATATAAGTATGAATAAGTTGATTCAAAAATTCTATTTCCAGGTGTCTGGTCCTGGAAGACTCTTGTAATCTCATGTAATCTCTCCCAGAAAGACTAAAAAGATAACTATAGGGAAGTTCATTATAACATTATTTATAATAGTCAAACATTGAAAAAAATGCTCATCAGTAAGAGAATGGTCAATACAATAAAGGATATTCATAATATGAAATACCATAGAGAATTAAAATAAAAACTTGATGTATGTTTAATAAAGGTGGATGGCCCATTAAAACATAATATTGAGTGAAAAAAGTATATTACAGAAAGGTTTGTATAGTATGATTCCATTTAATGCATTAAAAACTCCAAAACAATTCCACGTCATAATGCACATATATGTATGTATATGCACATATGTGTGTGTGGGGGGGTGTACCATCCTTATAGCAAGAAATATGAGTAAGTATGTTAAAATATCATTACTGACTACAGTTTTTAAGTACATATAATTTAAGGTCCACATTCTTAAATAGAAAAGAACAAGCTGCCACAATTTCAAATGTTTTGGGCAGTACCATGGACAGAACCAATGGCAGCACCATGGTCAGCGCCACCATTAGCCCCAAAGGGACAGGTGCCCCAAAGGTTTCATTCAGGAGCAAAGGGTGAGAGGTTGAAAAAGCTTTCTTATTTTATGACTAACATCAATTTAATACCAAAGATTAATAAAAAAAATTTTTATAAGCAAAAAAATGTATAGCCAATGCTTTGAATAAATGTAGACATCACAATGACAGGAATACGACAGTGGTCAAACACGTGCTAATTGAACATTAGTCTGTAATTCTTAAAACATGGCATTTCCAGATGAAAAGAAGACTAAGCAATTCTTCCAGAAGATTCTCAAGTAAAACTGCTGACCTGACTAAAAAATTCCCACCTTACAGACAGAACTCTTGTTCCAGAATCTTTGAATTAGCACTTCCCTTCATGCCACACCTCTTGTCCCATCTTTGCCTATCTCTCTACTTACACGGAACCAGCTTTCTACCTTCACGGCCACGTCATCCACATGGAGCAGGCCCGCACACTCTTCCTCGCCTCAGGCTTACTCCACCCTAGTCCCAGCTGATCACTTGGTTTCATGATTTTGCCCATTAAGTCTGTTTGATTTACCTTTTAAAGAACTTTACAATCAAGATAAAGCATTTCTGGTAAGAGAATGCTTTAAACATAATTTAAGTCACAAAACATATTTCTCAATTCATCAAGATTCATCAAGTGTGAATGTTCACACTTTTTCATAACTGAATTTATCTACATTAAAAGTTAAATTTAAGCACACTCTTACCCTATATTTAGAAAATTACGTTTAAGAAAATTAGAAACCTAAGCTACATACACACCCATTTTTCTCATTAGACTTGACAAGTGTTCAATTTTATTTCTGCCAGTGTCTGCAAATAGGGAACCCTGGCTTCGTGCACTGACCTACTTTATTTCGGTGCTGAACTCCTGCACCGTCTCAGCTTCTCACCATGCTTCTGGTGATGGTGAAGGGAGGTGATGGTGAAGGGAATCACTTATGTCAGTGTTCCCCAAAATGGGACTCATAAGAACCACTACGGGTGATTGTTAAAAACACAAAACACAGATCACGACTCAGGAGGAGAGGCCTGGGGATTTTGTTTTTGTTTTGGTTAAAAAAAAAAAAAAGGCAAATTCTCCAAGTGTTTCTTTCAGGGAACTTTGGAAAGCACTCTCATTTTCTTTCCTTCCCTTACTGCACCCATGAAGCTGACATGACGTTATATAACAAGATCCACACTCCATTTTCTCAATTTTCCCATGCAAAGAGATAATCCAGTTTTTGCTTATAATCCACAAGTGGCTTAGTCCTATTTTTCCCCTGAAATCATGAACTGCTCTCCATGCCCTTCCCTGGTGAATTAATGATGACTTTACAATATTCTTTATTTTAAAAAGTGTACCATATTGCCACCCTTTCTTCTCCTTAGCCTAAATCTGACTTATCTTTCCAAACACAGGGGAAACATATCTTAGTTTACAGTAAAATGGAATCACCAAATAATGACAGTTATTCCTCTTCAACATAACTTAGACTTTTAAAAATATTTTTCCATAGCCATAGTTTCACAAAATCCTATTGAACACAAAATCCTAGGCTAGGCAAATCAAGTAACCTTTAAGCTATTCTCCTTGACTCCTGAATTCTCCCCACTCCTTGCTACACTCCACATGGACATTAGAATCCTTTCCTAAAAGTAGGATTTTGATGGGCTCATTCAGAAATTCTCAGGAGCTCTCAATTGTTTTTGCCTAAAATCCAGATTTCCAGTATGTACTGCAAGGCCCGCCACTAACTGCATACTCTACCCTCACCAATACAATCCAGTCAGGCAAACACTTCCTGAGCACTGCCTGTGATTTGCTTGCTCCCATCTCAATGCTTTTATTTATATTATTTCTCATCTTAAAAGCTTTTCTTCCTAATTTCTGAAACCTAACCACTAGACCACCAGGTTGCTCCTTTCTTCCTTATTTCTACCATGTAATATTCCCTCTCCCTTCATAATCATGCTCAAAACTCCAATGCCTAGAAAGATTTCTCTGGTTAATTTTCCAGCCTCCAATCAATCTATCTACTGTTCTGTCTTAACATTTTTACACAGTGCTCTTGATGGTAATATTTATGCACAGATTTACCTTGTAAATATTCTGTGAGCTTTAAATATGTGGATATTCTTTACCCCAGTAGATTGTAATTTCCGGGCAGAATAGCAGGCAGACAGAGAAGTAGGGCTATAGGTACTATAACTATTTACTTCCCATTCTTATAGATCTAACCAGTAATATGAATATGATGGATGTTTAATAGCCTGACAACCAGTAACAGAAAACTGTACGGATCTCCATAACTATAAGAAAATTATGAAGAAAATCAACCTCAGGTAACTAAAAAATATACCTACCTTCTATTTCTTGCCCAATAGAAAGTCCGGCCCATTTTCGCTGTAAAATAAGAGGAAAAAAAAAAAAGACACTTAAAACCAAATCAATCAAAATTAGAGAAATGAGGAAAACAGGAATTTCTATGAATTTCAGGAACACATTCAAAGACCAAAATATGGTATGCTGCTATGTGCCAAATTGTGTCCCACAAAAAGACATGTTGAAGGCTGAGCCCCAGAACCTATGAATGTGCCTGTATTTCAAAATAAGGTCTTTTCAGATGCAATCAAGTTAAGATGAGGTCAGTCATATCAAGTTAGGGTGGGCCCTAAGCCAATATGATTGGCATTCTTATAAGAAGAGACACACAGACACATGCGGAGAAAGTCATGTGACAATGGAGGCAGAGATTGAAGCAATACGTCTACCAGCCAAGGAACATCAAGGATTGTGGGCAACACCAGAAGCAAAGCATGGAACAGATTCTTCCCTAGGGCCTTCCGAGAGAGCATGGCCCTGTGGACGCCTTAATTTCAGACTTCTAGGCTCCAGAACTGTGACTGAATACATTTCTGTTGCTGTAAGCCACCCAGTTAGTGGTACTTTGTTACGGCAGTCTAGGAAACTTATATGCTACAGTTTATATCTGAACATTCACTCCAGAGCATACGAAGCTTGCCTTTTTTTATAGTAAAGCTGGCACCATTGAGTAGATGCTCCTTTGCACAATATAATCTTTCTGAAAACCTTTGTAGTAACAGATATTATTTCAGTGCTCTAAATGTACTGTGGTAAGTTATACTGTTTGTTACAGTACCACAAAAGGAAAGACACTCAACTGATAAAAACTAAATTAAAACTGGTCAGATAATCTATAATGAAACCTAAGCAGGGATTCGGATCATTAGATGGTCATGACTAGTCCTTGTGTACTAGCCAAAGGCTTTTCAGGCATTTTCAACCAGCCTTTAGCCTCTCCCCAGGTCCTGACTGATTACAACGGCAATAACGTATGGGGTCGGCCAGACTGTGTTTAGGCAGGAATTCGGGACTGGCTTGGTATAGATTCAAAATTAGTAATTACTGGTAACACTGCAAAGAACAGCGAGAAAAAATAATTTTTGGCTAAAAATCAAAAGTTTGCCTACTCATCTATCATGGGTTTTGTTGAATTTTAAATATGTGCAACATCAAGTGCTCTCCCGTCCAGCTTTCTCACCACAGGTCACTTCTCCCTCCTCGCTGCCCTTCATGTCCCTCTTCTCTAATATCCCACCCTACTTGCAGCAACCTGAAATTTAGGAGCACGTGGTTTAGCTCAGACTTGGGGTCACAGAGCAGCCACATTTAGATTCTGTACGTCAATCCCAAAGACAGCCTCAAAGGATGATAAAAATAGTATCTATTGTACGGGGCTGTTTTGAGAATTAAATTAACAAAAACATGCGAAAGTACTTAGAATCATACCTGGCCTACAGTAAATGTTGGGGAAAAATTTTTTAATAGCAGAAAGCCAAGGAGAAATAGTCAGAAACCCCATTTCTAACCACCAGAATCCCAAATGGAGTTCTGTGAAATCTGGAAAACCTTGGACGACCTCAAACCTCTGCTCTACAGAAACAAATGTGAAAAGTGACCCTGATAATGGAGAGGCATATAGTGAAGGGAAATAGTGAGTGAATATTTCCCATAATTTTTGAGAGCTCCAAGAGGTCTTTAGTAATTCCCACAATGAGTGTTTGATATCTTTCACTAAAACTCCAGGGGACTATATCAATGCTTACCAGCCTATGAAGAGGAGGAGTCAGGGGTAATATTTACAATGCTTAGCACTGTGGGATCAGAGGCACAAGCAAGAAGGTAAGGGAGCAAAGGCTACAGACTGGTATTTGCACTGCTCCTAGATTATGTGTCATGTGTCTGGGGCAGTGCTAGGCAATTTTCCCCTCACAGAAACCACCAACAGTTATCAACGTAGTCATCATCCTTCCAGTCATTACGGGAGCCCAGCAAGGTAGGTTGTAATTCAAAATAACAGCTACTTGTATCATAGTCTTTAGTCTGGCATCACTGCATTTAAAAATCACTATTAATAAATGTTAATTTTACAGGTCAATGTCTTTTCTATTACCCTGGGAATTAACATTAAAATAACTTGATACCTTATCTAATAGCTAACTGATAATACTGCAGAGTTTTTAAAACTTAGGAAAAAATCAAGACAATAAAAGGTAGACACAGGAAAACTGGCAATTAAAAAGATATCTTTAAATTTCATATATACTGCCTAGATGTTTTTCTCTGATATGAATCAGTACAGTTATAGGTGATGCTTGCTTTAAATGAATTGATTCTTCTATGACTTTCAAGAATAGAAGAGAATAAATGAACATCTGAGTTACCTGAGGTAAGCTGAATGCAATGCTCCCTGGGACCACTGACGGATGGGTCCTCAGTGTAAATGTGTACCTGTGGTTGGGAGAGGTCCTCACAATCACGTGCCTAAAGACAGAAACAGAGTCAGTACTTCATGTCAAGGGAGATGAAGAACACCATTCCAAACGTGTTATATCCAACAACTGAGGCTTGTGAGTACTAGGTAGAAACATGGCATTATATAAGAGTCCTGAAGGAAGAGGACACATTTCATTTCCAAAAAATGTCACCACTTCAACATGTTTTCCAGGCATGAGGAGCACCTTGGGCCAAATACACATCAGGCAGAATCAGGACTAGGTTCAAGAGAGTACATACCATCCAAAACACCACCTTCGTTACATTTCCGGTTTACATAAAACTGATGACATTATTTAGAGTCCTTAATAGTAAGTAAAAATTAAATGAATTTTCTCTCCTGAGACTTATTTCACATCCTAAATAGAATAAAGGGAGGAGAACCAAGAGAGACGAGCCAGGATATAACAGTCAAAAGAAAGTTATTCTTTAGGACTAGGCTTTAAATCTCTTTGCAGATTCTCGCAACAGATTGAATTAGTAATAACCTGTAAAATTAAAAAGATGGTAAAATAAAAAATTTTCACAAAATCTATCAGCTTTCATATACATATCAATATTTACTATTTCAAAGCATTTTGTGCTAATTCGCCCTGCTCAGAAGTTACTCATAAACAGATACAATATTAATCTCATGATAATTTCTTACAGCAAGAAACTACCAAGAACTGTGTGTGAGACAGAAGCTTCGAACTGTTATGCAACAGCACTATCTTTTTAAAAGATAATTAAAAATTATCTTTTAGAATGCTATAATTTTTTAATATTAATGCTTAATGCTTCTAGACATATCATTTTGTCACTAGAACACAAGTTCCTTATAACTACTATATTCTAAGTAACTCCATCATGAGTACAATGAACATTCGACATGTGTAAAAGAATTCTATAAACAAATTCTCACACTGATCATCGATACTCCAGCTTATATGTGGGAAGTTCTGTGTTCAACTTAGCAGCAGAGAATTTTCAGGACTGAGAACAATATTAATACAGTCATGTAATACAGCCCCTTACTCTTAAGTTGAAAACGAAAAATGATTAGCAATTCTAATTCTGTGAAACTCATGTATTTCACAGATAGCTTAAAAACGAAACGAAACAAATTAAAACAAAAACAAAAACAAAGAAAGGCTCAGTTAAAGTCTTGCTTCTTTGTTCCTTATTTCCCCAGCCTACTTTCTGGTACAGCCTCTTCATCTCCTTACCTCTACCAATCTCAGAAGCTTATGGATGGCACTGAATGTGGTAGCAGGGTCTTAATAAGTTCTGGCAGTGGGTGACATGAATCAGTTAAAATAACTGACAATAAAAAATGCTTGGGAAGAGTCTACATTTGCTGTGCATCTTCCAATTTTCATGTCTTTTACATTATCATAGTAGTCATGATCCTAATAGCTAACATTTATTGAGGGCTTATTAATGTGCAAGGCACTGTTCTAAGTGCTTTATTTGTATAACTCTATCTTCACAACTACCCCAAGGAAGATATTATCATCATCCCTATTTTACAGATTAGGACACCGAGACACAGACCCGGTGAATAACTTATCTCTGGCCACCCAGTTTGTAACTGACAGAGCCAGAATCCAAACTCAGACGATCTGAATCCACACCCAAAACCTAATGACTGAGTTATTTATAATCCATACAACTAATATGTTTAGTTCTTCGAAGAAAATCGATAAAAAATAAGATGTATAAAAAGCCAGGTATGATTTTAAAAACATAGTTATCAAAGTTCAACACAATAAAGACTTCCTCATTTCTTCCATTTTCTAACTCAGCGAGAGGAATAAAAAAAACATATTCTCAAGTTCACTAAAAAATAAGGGTTCTTTAGAAGTTTCTAAAATGCCACCTAGCAGCTTAGGAGAAAACAAAGTTAGATACTCACTGGCCGGACTGGAAATCTTTTTCATTCACGACGGCGCAGTTGGTTAAAGATAATTCGTCTGTAGGACATCTCGCAGCTTGCATACTCTATATAAATCAATAATTAGGAAAATAAAATTAAGTCACCTTTTAATAACTTTAAAGACTAGTTTATGCTCTCCTGTCCTCTATACCTCATCACCTGTTGTAAACATCTGTTGTTTTTGACTCCCAGCATCCCTTCCTCTGTGATAATAGCAAACCTTTCCTTTCGGAAACCCTTCCTTCGCTATTCCACATGCTTTTGCAGACATGCTAATCACAGCACACATATAGCTACACAGAGGTCTGTTCCACCCATGGCATCATATGTACACAGGTAATAGAAGAAAAGCATTCCCCCTTGCCTCACCACCAAACAGAATGAAACTATCAGAGAAACAAAGGTAACAAAGACACAAGCAGACACCTTGAAACACAGATCCAACAACCAAGTTAAAGACCTGAGTCCTCAGTGTTGGTTATGAGCCAATAAATTCTCTTTTTTGATCAAGCTTATTTGAGCTGGCTTTTCCATCTCTTCAGATAAAAGAATTTTGACTGATTTAAGCCCAGTGAAGTAAATTCAGTAAGTCCAATAAAGTGTAAGTCACAAAAAGTATCTTTTATAATAGATCTCTAGTGGCTATGAACCATATCCCCTATAGATTGAGAAAAACCATCTTCCAATAAAGATACAGGGTATATTTTTTTAAAACAGCAATTAACAATCTTTTTGATCAACAGCGACTAGCAAAATATTCCTCCGTATAATGAATTTAACCAATAACCTTTCCACCGTCCTTAGGGTTTCCTTGTTAGTAAAATATGACACTTGTAGTCACAGTTTGTTTATGACTAAAGAACTCATTCTTCAAACCTCAAACCAAAGCTGATTCTTCTTAAATTTGTCTCCCGAATACAAATTTATAGAGGAAAATAAATTACTTTTCGCTTTGCTTTTGTTTTAACTCAAAGGCTAGTTTCAACAGTTGTCCCAGTTGTTTGGCGGTCTCTAAAGAGGAATACATGCTCCCAAAGGGTTTGCAGGGTAATTCAAGTATCCAAATAAGCTGAACCCAGAAACAGACCTCTGAATAGGAGTATCAAAATATTAACCCGAGGGTTTGAAAAATGAAGCACTATTTTGCTTTCCGTATTAATAAAAGAAAAATGAGAATATATTTTTCACCTTTAGCCCATCTTTTTTATTTCCTTTTGTATGTTTTACTACGTACATAAACTATTAGTATAAAAGTTATAAATAAATATGTATATATATTGGGGATACATAATCAAAATGTTTTTTACTTATGGGATTCATGATAAACTGATTGGAAATCACTAATTTAGAACAGGAGAGGATTAAAGTCTAGGCCATAATTTCGCTTTCTGAATGAGAGTATTTTTGCCGACGGTCACAGGTTGACAAGCCATCTGACAAAAACGGTACCCAGCTTTTTAGTTTCCCATCTACCCTGGGGTCTCACCTACAAGCTTCTTCCTCTTACACAGTTCCCCCTTATCTGTGGTTTCACTTTCTTCGGTATCAGTGACCTACAGTCAACCACAGTATGAACATATTAAATGGAAAATTCCAGAAAAAACAATTCGTAAGTTTTAAATTGTGTGTGTTCTGAGTAGTACGATGAAATCTCATGCCATCCTGCCCCGTCTGCCCAGGATGTGAATCATTCCCTTTGTCCAGCATGTCTACACCATATACACCATCCATTCATTAGACATGTAGTTATCAGATCGGTTATCAGATCAGTTATCAGGGAAGAAGACCACATCCACAAAACTTTTATTACAAGTGTATTGTTGTAATTGTTCTATTTTATTATTGTTGTTGTCATTCTCTTACTGTGTCTAATTTATAAATTAAACTTTATCATAGGTATGTTGTATGTATCTGAAAAAACATAGTATATATAGGGTTCACAACTATCTGTGGTTTCAGGCATATACTGGGGGGTCTTGGAAAATAACCCTGTGAATAAGGCGGGGACTACTGTATATTCTTCTCCCTCCCCTAACTCTGAGCCCCTTGCCTCCCAACTCCTACTCATTCTACAGTTCTCAGCTCAGATATTACTTCTTCTAGAAGACATCCCTAGACTCTTTACCCTCCCCACAAAGCTGATAAAATAAACTTCAAATGTAAGCACCTGACTGTGTTTTTATTGTCTGTTCACATGTTTGCACTGCATAAAAGACAATAAACTTCTCAAAGACTAAGACTACATCTTGCTCCAGTTTTTGGTTCCTGGGGCTAATATGGGGCTTGGCACTCATTGCTTATCCAACATTTGATGAATAAATGAACTATAGATCAATACAAATCTACCTCAATCAAAGAATGAACAATTCAAATAATATGTATACAAAGGACATATCAAGCTTATTTAGGAAGTGATATAATTAAAATTATCTAATAGATCAAAATTACACAGAACTGATATAGACAAAGTAATAAAAAATTTACAAAATGCTGTTAACCTTTTTCATTTATGAACTTGTCTACTTGTCAAAGAGCTAGTGTCCTTTCAAAACGAGTGAAAAAAGTCTTTAGAAGTCAGCTTTCTTGCCCACTAAAACAGATGCTGTGAGCAAAAGGCCTCCCTACTGGAATCTAGAAGCATCTGTGTTTTTATGGTAAGCCAAGCAGGGTATCTCATTTTCTCATGAAACTATAAGTCCCTATAAATAGTAGCTGTTTACTTACCACAGTAATGCCAAGGGAAAATTCCACAATTTTTCTAACATTGACCTTACCTCTAAGAAACATAATAAAAGCCCAGGCACTACAGTCATGCAGCTATTAAGAAGTGAAAACACAAAATTGATGGGCAATTTTATATAAGTTTAGTAATCTAAGTGACCAGAACATTCAGCTGTCTGAAGACTGCAAAATGTTTTCATTAACAACTTGAAATGTAAAAAAATTAATAATTCATTGCTGCTCAAAAGAATGAAAATCTCAGCAAATCTCTAATGGAAACTTTAGTGGAAGTAATTATGCCATTGCTTACTTGAGAGCCTCTAAAGTACAAAAAAAGAATTTGCTTCTTTTCATCAAAAAATCGGGACTCCTCTAGGCAACATTATATGGATTTTAAATTTAAACAACATACTTTCATCCAAAGTTTCACTTTAAAAATTGAGTTAAGTATATGCTTTATTGTTTACCAAAGAATTTGTAGGGGGAAAAGAAACAGAAAAAAACAAAGAGCATAGTACCTGACAAAAAGAGCTCATTACCAAATAACTTGCCCCAACCCTAACTTCAACACTCACGCATCCACTGGTTCTTCCTCTGCGGTGCTTCAGGCCTTGGTTACGTGTCTCTAGAGACACACAGATTCCCCCACAGGAAAGGGAAGAAGGACAGAAAACATGAGCTTGCCCCAGAGCCAGCTCAGCTGACAAGTCCCACTCGATTATTTTTTGTCAGACCATCTTTCCTGAAAAATAACATTTTAGAACTATACTGTTCAATCGAGTAACCAATAGACACATCTGGCTATTAAAATTAAATTAATTAAAATTAAAAACTCAGTTCTTCAGCTGCACTAGCCACACTTCAAGCACCACATGTGGCTAGTAGCTGTCACTGAAGAGCGTTTCATTGGATAGTGCTGGTCTAGAACAATGTGAAAGCCCATCAGTTAACGCCTGTCTTCAGGCCTAAGGAATCATTCTGTGCTATAAACTCCTGTAATGATCATTTCTGTCAAAATTTTGAAGTCATGTGGGGCTAGATGTGATGGGACAGAAATAATTTAAACTTTTATGTCCTATGGGATACTCTTCACATTATTTATTTCAGACCATTATTCATCTAGTCACATAGATAAATCTCCTGACATCCATTAGGGCTTTAAAAGTTTGGTGAAAAGAAAAAGGCAAGTTCCCATTTGGGAAAACAAGAAAAACAAAGAAAAATATAAAAGGCTGACAACATTAAATATTGGCAAAGATGTGATGCAGTTTCTTATAAAGTTAACATGACCCAGCAAGTCCACAACTAGTTTTTTAGTCAAGAGAAACGCGAGCATATAGCCATACTTATACACAAATGTTCACAACAGCTTTATTTATAATAGCCCCAAACTGGAAATGACACACAAATCTACCAAAGGTGAATGGATAAACAAACTGTGGTATAGTCCCAACAATGGAAAACTATCCAACAATGAAAAAGAAACTAACTGCTGATGTATACAACAACATGGGTAAACCTCAAAAATGTAACACTAAATTTAAAAAGCCAGATGCAAAATCCTATATACAGTGGTCCCCAACCTTGCTGTCACCAGGGACCGGATGCAAATACAGATGAAGCTTCGCTTGCTCACCTGCCGCTCTCCTTCTGCTGTGTGGCCCGGTTCCCAACAGGCCACGGACCCAACCGGTCCATGGCCCAGGGGTTGGGGACCCCTACTCTACAGCATTATTTTAATAGTGATGAATTAGAAGCAACCTAAAAGTCTCATTTTCAAGTAATGGTTATGTAAACTATAACACATCCACTTAGTTAAATATCATATTGCCATCAAAGTCCTCATAACATATTAGAGATTCATATCACAGGAATATGAAATACGTTTATATTTATTTTTTACTTTACTTGATTTTACTTTAGCTTGATGTTTTTAAAGTATAGTAAACCAGCTAAATGGAAACATACCAAAATGTAAAAAAACAACTGTGATTGGACAATAGGACTATGGGTGATTTAATTTCTTTCATCTTTTATGCATTTTCTAATTTAAAAAATATAGATAGGTGTTACTTTACTAACCTAATTAAAATGTTTGTATTAAAGTTAATTGACAATATATTTCATTTCAGGCCTCTGTTTGCTTCTGTATGTATAGACAACGGCGACTGTGCACATTAGAAAAATAACTCAAGTACACTGTCATTGTTCATGAAACACAAGACATAGTCGCATCATTTGTGTGCTTTTATTTCATAGTTAAATCATGTTGGTTAAATCTAATTTTCTTTGATAACAATGTGCCAAGGATTTTTGTAAATAAATTAAGAAAAAGCATTTTTAG